CTTTGATCAAATGTTGTCTCCGTGACTTGTGTGATTGTGGACATTTCTGACAGTCGGTGTCTCTGTCCCTGCAGATGTCCAACTACAAGCGAGCTACATTTGAGGAGGAGGAAGTTTCTGACGGACCAGCTGAGGCGTCTCTGTCTCCTGACGGAGTGGAGGTGAGTGAGTGAACAGACAGAGTCAGGGTTCAGGTTCATCGTCAGCCATGAGTCTCACCATGAGGTGAAAATGGAAAAGCAGAGGAAACAAGAAGGACTTTGAACCGACAACATGCTGTAGTCAGGGACAAAGATATTTACTGGACAATAATGGTTCTAGGGTGAACGGGGATTTCCTGAGTCTAACATATCCCAGATGAAATCCTAGAAACAGACTCTGTGTGGGTCCACCACCCAGAAAGAGGTGCAGTAGCTGTAGGGGTGGCTAGAGGTTTTTATCAAACAAACAAGACAAACAGGAGGGGGAGGAGGGTGAAGGGAGAGGACAGTGAAGGTGTATTTGTTGATATCTAGTGTTTGCTGCCATATTTTTACATCTCTGTCCCAGGTTTATGATGTGTTGTGTGTCGAGTGTGTTTTTTCAGGCAGATTCTTTAGTGGATCAGGACAGAGATATTTTGGTGACGTCTTCTCTCCATGGTTGATATGATCTCAACTTTAACTCATGTAAAGGGAGAGGGACAGACGAAGAAGATATCACCTGCGACAACATCACCATTTGACGTTGTTGTTGTACTGAGTGATGTCATATCGTCACAGTAATTGTTGGTATAATGAATTAGTTGTATTGTTGAATAACAAAAGATAAAGACTGGTTTGGAACTAAGACAGGAAGCAGACTCTCACCCAACATTTAGAGAGTCTGTTGTCAGTTGTCAATAACAGTGTAATGTGTTTATCATACAACGATGTTCTATTCACCAAGTGCAGCCTTATATCTGTGTAGGTGAAAGTAAAAGTGTTGATAAAAAATATTACTGTCCCGTCTGTGTGTCTCTGTTTTTCAGGTAGGCTTCAGGAAAGGAGGTGTGAACATCCTGGGCAGGAGAACTCAGCTGGAGGTGATCCTGTCAGTCCTGCTGCTCGCTACTCTGCTCGCTCTGACAGCATGTCTGTTTGTGCTCGGAGTAACCTTTAGTTCAGGTAAACACACACACACACTGTCTCCACATCAGTTATCCTGTCTTCTTCTCTCTCCGACTTCCTTTGTTTCTTTCTTTCCTAATCTTACATGTCCTTTTCTCCCTTGTTCCCCTTAAACTCCCTCCTCCTCATTTATATGACGGTGATTCTTCCCCGTCCTCCTTAATTTCCTCCATTCATTTTTCGATCTGCCCCTCCCCTCCTCACAGACCACCTGTCTGACTTACTAGAACAGGTGGTTCATCACTGTTTAACACACATTCCTGTCTTCGTCCTCTTTCTCGTGATGCTGCGCAGACAGCAGTCGTGACCTGTGTCTGTCGGAGGCCTGCATCACTGTGGCCAGTCAGATCGTGGAGGCCATGGACCGCAGCGCAGACCCCTGTCAGGACTTCTACCAGTTTGCCTGCGGTGGATGGGTGAGGAAGAACCCACTTCCTGATGGACACTCACATTGGTCCACATTCAACGACATCATGGAGCAGAACCAGGCTGTCCTCAAACACCTGCTGGGTAAGACGGGTGGAGACAAAATGGTGGAGACAGATGAATGGAGAGACAGAAGCGTGACTATTGTTTTCTTACTGTCCTCTTAGAGAATGGTACGTTTAACGGCAGCAGTGAGGCAGAGAAGAAGACTCAGTCCTACTACTTGTCATGCCTCAACACACAGAAGATTGAAGAACTGGGAGCGCAGCCTCTTATAGACCTCATCATCAAGGTAACTCATATTCATTGTCGCCATGACAAGGAAAGGAAAGGAAAGTGAACTCCTTGTCATTGTGACACTGCACACCACCAAATGTGACCTCTGCATTTAACCCATCACCAAAGTGAACAGTGGGAGCAGTGAGTGGGGACGGAGCCATGCTCAGAGCACCTCAGTGGTAACTTGGCAGCTGGTGGACTCAAACCTGAAACCTTCTGGACCCAAGTCCGCTTCCTTAACCACTAATCCACCACTGCCGCTGGCACTACAACTGCATGACTCAGGAACAACAGTTTCTCGGCTGTGGCCAGAAAGACTAAACAGATGACTATCTATGCTGGTGGTCCCGCCACATACAGTGGAGACGCGTAGATCAGGAAGGAGACAATACAGAGGACGAACCTGCAGCTTCTGTCTGTCCTTCAACACAGGAGTTTAAAAAAATAAATATTCACGTTATATATCAAGTTAATTTCAGGCTTTTTGCTAGTGTGCTACAACAGACACCATTAGCTGTGGTGTCTGTTGTAGCTAATGTTATCTCTGGCATTTGTCGTAGCTAACATTAGGTAAGAACGATAAGAAAACTATTTTGTTGACCAATTCAGACACGAGCACGGTTTCATCAAAGCTTAAAGTAGGAAGAGAAAAAAATAACTGTCAAGACATTCAAAAACCTAGGAAAGTGTAGTCTTAGAAAATGAAGAGTTTGAAAAAGGGAGTGTGAAAATAAATGACCTTTAACATTATATCAGAAAAGAAATACAAAATCATTTCTGCTGTATTAAATAATCTTAAATCACAGAGTGATTGTGCTGTGAAGAGTGTGTGGCCTTCCTGCAGATCGGTGGCTGGAACATAACAGGTCCCTGGGACAAAGATAACTTCATGGAGGTTCTGAAGGTAGTGTCTGGTCCATACAGGGCTCAGCCTTTCTTCAGTGTCGGAGTCAGTGTTGATCCAAAAAACTCAAACAGCAATATCATCCAGGTAAGTTAAACCATGATTAACTTAGACCCAAACCCTGGTCTCAGACCTATATTTAGAACTCTGATGTCTCTCTTTGTGTCTGTGAACCTTCAGCCTTCTGACAGTGTTTTTTGTTCTTCTGCAGGTGGACCAGTCGGGTCTCTCACTGCCCTCCAGGGACTATTACCTGAACAAAACAGCAAATGAAAAGGTCAGTTGTTTTTCACTCAGATGCCTGGTAGGAAAGGTCATCAACTGATCAGATTCTAAGGATATTTCCTCTGATAATCCTCCTGTTCCCAGGTGCTGGTGGCTTACCTGGAGTACATGGTGGAGCTGGGGGTGCTGCTGGGTGGAGACAGGAGCTCAGCACAGCTGCAGATGCAGCAGATTCTGGATTTTGAAACGGCACTCGCCAACATCACAGTTCCACAGGACCAACGGAGGGACGAAGAGAAGAACTACCACAAGGTCACCATCGCTGAACTACAGGTACATCATCAGCACCAGGGGGAGAAGATGATGCAGTGGTGCTCGTGTATGTGTGTGTCTGTCTGCCTGTGTTTGAGTTTCAGTTTGTGTAAGTGTGTGTGTTGGTCTGTCTGTGTGCATTCATTTGTTTGTATGTAAATGTGTATGGCTGTGTGTCTGTGAGTGTGTGTTAGGACTGATTTGGTCTCACCTCACTCTCTGCGGCAGCTCCCTGTCCTTCAGGCCTGCAGATGCTTTTGGTGTTACCATGGCAACTGTTGCCATGAGCTGTTGCTATGTGCCTATATGTCAGGTGAAGGAGGGGCAGAGGGGAGAGGAGGGTGTACTGCCTTTTAGACAACCTGCAAGATTTTGTATATCTTTTGTAGATTAGTCAACAGAACGTCATCGTTGATTCACATCAAACCACAAACACAGTAAAAGGGAAAAGACATAAGGTCTACTGTTTACCTGGACCTGTTCCATATTTAGAAATATATTATACTGAAGTAATTTAAGACAGAATCAGGGAGGAGAGTGTTGTCTTCTGCGGGGTCAAAGGGCAGTACTATCATATTAGAGACATCACTTCACAGTTGTTAGTTTTTATGTTCGGGCCTAAAAATAAAACCTTCTGGTCAGGTGACTCTTTAGCCTTGAAACAGTCCATCTGCTGACGATGGCCTTGTCAGACGGTTGAAGCTACAGCCATAAAATAAAGGTCTCTGACATAATAAGTTAATACTCTAAATAACCCACTGACAGGAGCGAGTTAGTCTCAGTTTATGACATGGTTATCAAACATTGTGGGCCTCCCTCGAATGGCAAACTTTCTTCCCTCCAAACTCACACTCACTGCACAACAATTTACACACACACGTAAACATAGACAGAAATAATTATTATTTGAGTTTCACAAAGGTTGCAGAGTGAAACAAATACTTCTGTTTCATTCTTTAAAATGAATGACAAAAAAATCAATTACCAACAACAGTTCATGAAAATCCAAACTTGACATAATGATTGTAGTACTTCCTGTGTTTTACTGCAGTACTGCTCATTCTCCTTTCTCACCAAACCTTGAATAAATCCCTTCTTTCAT